GAATGACACTGACAATGAACCCCTTCCTTGAGCATCAATAAAGATGACATTGACAATCAACCCCTTAAGAAACTGTACAGGTGAAATACTAGATCATTAAGTCAACTTCATGCCCAAATGAGCAAATTGATTTTGGTTTATGCTAGAATTACTTGCCCTACTACTGTATCTGATAGTTAATAGTAGTCAACACTCAACTACAATACTGAAATTTAACAAAGCTATCAAAAGAGAGTATACTGCGAGTAGGCAGTGTAATTAATATAATGGATTCAGAAGCATCAAACCTCTTCTTCGGAAGAATCGACGTCGAATTAATATCAAGTCATATTTAATAATAGAAGGATTTGACAGAAATATGCAAAATTAGAGGCATAAAAAATCAGCATACTCAGCAAACGAGTCTGCCCAATGCCCATTCCGAGACCCCGCAGTATCAGAATTCTCGTGTATTCTATCTCTTTTTGTATGCAACAAAAGGTGTATAAGGAAAAAAGAAGCTAGAAGTTACTCAACCTGCTACATTGTTGACAGAACCGTGTGCGGGAGTCCGCGACACACCACAACTTGAGCTTAGCATGGTGTTCACAGACCTTATGCCGCCTATGGTACTGCTTAGCATCACTAAGATCAGCAGTACACTTCTCCGCCTGGCAACACCTCATTGAACTTGCTCCCCCACCACCACTCCCTTTCTTGCCTCCACCACTGCCACCACTTCTCTTTTTCCTATCATCCTCTGAAGTACCCAAGAACTCATCATCTTCCATGTCCTCAACCTCTGTTGCAGCTTCCTTCTTCACTTTGTCCTTCACACCCTTCTGTTTTAGGTCAGCTCTACTTGCTTCCATGGATCAGAGAGTGAAAAACAGTGAAGGCAATGGAGGATTTGAGGAAGAAGAAGGGAAGATATTGGTGTGGGTGGATGTGGGGGGTGGGAATTTTGAGAGGAAAGGTGAAAAGCTAGAGAGGGATGTGTGAGGACCACAACCTCCGTTCTTTGATGTGTTTGTTTGTATACGAATGTGCGTATTTAGAGAGAGGAGAGAGGAATGTTAAAATCAAAGTGAGTGCATGTATGTATGTGGGAGGCCAGGAGGGAGAGAAGGAAAATGTTACAATGAGGGCGGCCTCATTTAGAGGAGTTATACATATTCTAAGTAGTACAGATATTAGACATAATTTATTAATTTAATGATATTGTACCTAATTTATTAATTTAATTTTTTGACTTAATTTGTTATAATCTTTGTATTAACTGTAAATTTTATCAAATATGAAAATTTGATGTTCATCTAATGATTCTACTGAAATCACATAATTATATCAAATTTTTAAATATAACTAAATTACTCTTTGTCAAATCATCAACTATAACGCTACAATAATCGTTAGGATTGTTCTAGTAGTTGAAATTGTTATTTGGTAATTTAGAGGTATAAAGTTTTAAATTTAATTTTTTTTTTACACCTCTTAAAAGATTAATTATTTTTATCCCTTAAAAAAATAGAGTCTAATTTAATTCAAGTCCCAATAATTCACTGTTAATTTTCAGAGAATATTCGGTGCGGGTACAATCGTATAACAATCATAACCTGATCTAAGTCACGCAAGTAACTCTGATGAGACGCAAAAACTGAGAATGCCCTCATGGGATTGCAGCCCATGAGTTGAGAGAGAATAGAGTGGTGGCCCCACAGATTTAAAGAAAGTAAGAGGGTTGCTAGGTTTGCACTACTGATAGGACAGACACTGAATGCGACTATTCTGTATTTGGTTGTGATTGTCTGAGGTCTGGTTGGTTTGAGTTTGCAGACGTTTTTGTCTCTGATTGATTGGATTGTGATGGTCAGTGGGTCAAATTCTCCAAAATTTTGAAACTTCATTGTATCTACCAATGAAAACTTGATACGTGTCCAAGTTCATGTTGTTTATGAACTGTGGCGAATTTGGTCTGTGTCCTTCCGACGCGGAATGGTACGATTCCTATTACGGTGGTGGGGATGGCCATGTCTGGCTCAACAAGCCAACGCGAAGCCTCTTAAGACGGGCGGCCAAAACACTTTTGGCTTCTTCGCTATGGCTTTTTTTTTTTTTTAAGGAGTTTAAATTGATTTATTTAAATTTGAATTTGATCTAAAAATGAGATTCAATATTTAATATTATTTATACCTATATTTGATATGTGTAAGAATACATAATTATTATAATAATATATTTATATATAAATAATTATTTTATTCATTAATCAATTTGTATATATGTAGTATATAGAATATATGAAAGTATAAATGTTATTTGTGCATTAAACTCTTTAACCCACATATGAAATCCACGCCCCTTGAGTTTCATGAAACCCAAGTACGTGGGTTTCATGACCAGGCCATCCAACGGGTTGGGTTTTCAAACTTTAGGCTAAACATGGGTTACCCAACATAAGTTTAAGGGATTTATTCCACAACCCACAATCCAAACTCCCTCAAACCTGCATACCAAACAGTCCTTTTTGTGGGAAAGTGAAAACAATAAATAAGATATTTTTATTTTTAATATTAATAATATTTTTAATTTTTAATTTTTTAAAATGTAAAAATATTAATTAAAAATTTATATTCAAGTTTTTATTATTATATTTGAACTTCATGGTAAAAAAGAGAAATAATTATTGAAAAAATATGATGGTAAGTTTAGACTTGATTTTTTAGGGGGTTAAGACAAATTTTTTTAATAGTTTTAGTTTTACCGTTGGTTTCTTTTTTTTTTTTAAAATAACTTTTAGTACTTTTTAATTTTACAGCTAAATTAATAGGTGTAATCTATTTAAATTGAAAATTTTGATTTGGACATGATTGAAATATTTTATTTGGACTATTAATACACACTTATGAATTTATGGTGTAAAATCTATTTAAATTGCTTGGTGCATGTTCCCATTTTGTATATGCTTTAAAATTTATTTAAGACACTGTCATCAATGGATGCAAAGAGGTAAATGGAATTGTGGTCAGATCGATCTAAATTAAGTCATATAGTATTGAATCAACTTGCATCATATCAAGTCTCAAAAGTTGGAGTGGACCTGGTTTAACCGATCTAACTTGCTGGGGTGGATTTATGCAGGGCCAGGGGCACTAGCCCACCTCAAAATCTTTTCTTGATTATATTTATACTATATAGTCACTGGTCATAACTCTGATCTATCTATATCTATGTAAATGAATCAAGTTTCTAATTTATTGGTTGCTTGGTTCATATTAATTTCACTAGATGAATCCTCACATTTTTTTTTTAATAAACTATTTTCCTTGGGACTCTATACCCTTCTTTATAAACTATATTACTCAGGGTTAGATTAAATTCCAGTTGTTTTATACTTTATAAACTATAATTCATGTTGATCTTCACTGTTGTATTGGTTTTTTCTTATTTACGTTATCAAATCGTTAACAGTTTATCCTTCTTGTATTTCTCAGTTAGTAACTAAAATTACAAACTTAACTTGATGGCCATTAATGTCTATTCATATTTCTTTTTCTATCTATCACTACCTTTTTCACCTCTCTCCCCCTCTCCCTCTCCCTCTCCCTCTCCCTCGCTTCACGATTGGATGCACCGCACCTTCACTTAAGTCATATACAAACTCATGCGATCAGTTTTTCCATGACATGACTTCAATTTGGAGATGATTAATGTCATCCATAACGCAAAAAGATGTTTAGCAATTATGCATGCGATGCGAAGTACTCAATTCAGTTGATGATCATGATCAAATTACTCTTTATGTTGTGGCGGTAACAGGCATGTTGAAGTGGTTAGATTTCTTGTTGGGGGTGGGAAGTGATCTTGATGTTGTAGGCTATAAAGGATAGACCCCCCCCCCCCCCTTATTTGTTGCAGTTGATGGCCATGTTGAAGCTGTTGAATTATTGTTGAACAATTCAACGTATGTATTGGTTATACATTCTGTTGAGAAAAATTCTGCCATATATATTTGTATTAGTACTGCAGCGTTTATGTTTTTCAGTTAAAGAATAGTTTATTCAATGTATTTGTATTACAATCATTGGGTAATCATCGTGCATGGCTATTGAATTTTGGTCTTACTAAGAGTATCTGCATTTTGATAATCAAAGCAAGACATTAGACACCTACACAAATATATAGTATAAGTCGATAAGAAGCTAATGCTCCGTTTGGTATGATGAAAAAATAAAAAATGAAAAGTTGGAAGAATGGAAAGTTAGAGGGATAAATAAAACATCATGTTTGGTAAAAAATGAAAATATGAAGGATGAAAAAGTAAATGTATTAACTTTCCTTTCAACTCAGCAAAATCAATCCCTCTAAAATCAGAAGGAAAGTGGATGAAAAATTAATTATTTGTGTTGAAATGTATCTTATTTATCTATATATTATGTATCTATTAATTTCATAAAAAAATACAATGATATAATATATATAGTAAAACTTAAAAATAAATTAAAAAAATATTTTTTTTATCTTAACTAAGGGTGAAAATTTTTGACTTAACACGATGACAAGATTCGAACTCGACACAAATTTTATGACACGAACTTGAAAATGACCTGACACACGAACAATAAATATAAAAGGTTCATAATTTTATGACTCAACATGAATCTGACACGATATAACTAGATTGTCACCCTTAATCTTAGCCAGCACAAAAAAAAATTAGTTATTTTTATTTTTCATCCATCCAACCAAATACAAAGAAATGAAAGTGTATCATTCATACTTTTTATCCTTGAAGGGTAGAAAGTGTATCTCTCCTATTTTTCATCCTTCCTACTTTTCATTCTTCTTACCAAACGGAGTATAAGAGTTTTGGTGTGTTTATGAAAATGTTTTGCCGAACTCAATAACTATTCATAGTGAATTTTGTCTTGTAGATTGGTATCATAAAAACTTTTATTGTTGTATTATATTATCCGTGGGAACGTTTCAATAGGTATCCAATCCTGATCAAATACACCTATGAGTGCTATAATTTAAATGATGCATGTGCAACACAGGTGTACACCAACTTGTGACGCCTCGATTCCCAGAGGTTCTGTTTAATCTGTTGATCATCCATTAATCTACGAAATATCAGTGAATACCGTATAATTCGATACCACGCCGTTACGTCCCATTTACAGGGATGGAGAGCTCTATCCAATACACAACTTGCGCATTTATATAATATTGACCACAACGTATACATCCATTAGTATTCAATAACATAGCATAGAATATTAACTCATAACCATCATTTATGCCTACATTCTTTCCTAAAATAATAAATATCCAAAAGAGTCACATATACATGCCTTAATTTAAATCCAAGTTTTGTTTAAAAAAAATTTATACAAAGCCAAAATAAACGGAAACAAAAATTATAACATCAAAAATAAGAGCCACAGTCTGGCTCTGTTATCAAAGCAGGCCCAACTTAGAGCCTCTAGTGGATGTCTGTCTGATACCTGAAATATATTCCTATTAAGGGTGAGTTACGCTCAATAGAATATCTTCTATAGAGATCACCTCACAACCTAGATGCATATGAAATATCATATGCAACATCCTGTCATGTATTTATTGAAATAAATCTATTATAAACAAATGCAATAAACTATGTCATTTTATGAGATGATACTCACGTACGCAATGAACACCTAAGCCCCATTGGCTCCCATAACACATGCATATGTATCTAGGCTATCCAAGCTCCCGCTATTGATGTTGAACATCGAATAAGGACTTTATAAAAAATGTCTCTTTGTCGGGTAGCGATTTATGGTTTCTCACCAAAAGGACACCACACCTTAGACAGATCTTCAAGACATTT